TTTTTTATTTACCCTTTCAATGGTAAATACTGCCAACTTGTTGTCAAATAGTTCAGTGTAGTACTGCTCAACAGCTCTATAGCAATGGCAAGAAGGGATTTTAACAAGGGAAAGATATTCCTTTCTGAACTGTTCTCATTAATCTGAACTCAAGGCCTTAACGGGGGGACCTACGTAGCACGCAGTTGATGTAATGTATTCATAAAATGTATTGTATTCCATTGTTTCTCGTTCTATTGTATTATGTGGTTTGTATTATATCTTTATGAATATATTACATTAACTGAGTGCTACGTAGGCTCTCCCAGCCCTTAACAGGTCCCTGAAATCACCCCAAACCACGCCCTTTACTTAATTATATGCAATGGTCATCATGCCCAAATATGGGCGATAATTTATTGCAATATGGCCAGGTTACAACAGCTAGGGTGTGAAATCGACAAGATTCCAACATTTCATGCGATCAAGAGGAATTTGACGCTCCAAAACTGCTAAGGTAAAATTTTATTTGGATTTTATTTGATAAACTGTTTTGCTTATCATCTTAGTTAAGATTTACGAACGAAAATTTAGCCAATTTACACAGAATTTTCTCTTTTTAAATCGAATTTTCTTCGCGGGAAATTTAAACAAAGTTCAAGAAGTGTCTCACGTGGTAGACGCGTTAAGCTAATATCACTTATCTTAAAGCACTCCTAATATGAAGAATCCATTAGAAGTAAAGGTTTCAATTACAAGTTCTAAATAACTACTAACCAATTAAGGTTTATAACTTGGCAAAGGCAAAACACATGTGTTATTAAAAGAATGACGGCATAACACACTCCCTGTATTTTCAAGAGGGGTTTGCTTACATTTTCCTTTCGGTGGATGTTGTTATTTTTATGTTTTTTATGAAAGTTGCATTTTGTCTTACAACAGTGTTGCATTGGCCCAAGACGACACAGAACACCCCGGTAAGCATAAGTTATCAACAGTATGAAATCCTGTAGGGTCTGACTAGCAATTTATGGGACTTATCCAACTTCATAATGGTTATGAAGGTATAGCAAGAACCAAGGAAAAGGAAAAATTGGGGGGGGGGGAGCATAGTGAACAGATAAAAAATATTCAATTTATGTTTCCTCTGCATTTAAATTACAGAGTTTCAAATTTCTGTGGCCTGCCACACCCTTGCCCCCTTGATGTGCCCCTGTTGGTGATAAATGAATTATCATAATGATACCATTGTTTTAGACTTTTCCTTTAATGTTAATTTGACTGCTATACATTGTAGTACACTACTTTGTTTATATCTTGGCAAAGGCAAAATACATGTGTTTATTAAAAGAATGACAGCATATTAACACATCCCCTGTATTTTCAACAGGAGTTTGCTGACTTTTTTTAATGTGTTATGTGTATGTTTTTAAAGTTTTTTTGTTGCATTTTGTTGTATGTCTTCCAACAGTGTTGCAGAAGCCCAAGTTGGACCAGAACACCTCGGTAAGCACTTAAGAATAAGATTATCATGATCAGCATTATGAAATCCTATGTGAGGGTCGAACCAGCAATTTATGACACTGATCCATCTGCATATTGCAGAGTGAACAGCTAAAAATTGTTTAT